CATTTTTCTTGCTCAAAAATGTTATGTTTCTGATTTGCTTGCTCGAGCAAAAATGTCTACAGCCAAGCCAGTATCCACACCGGTTGATACGAATGGTAACTTAACCCTTGCTTCAGGTACTACTCTAACTGATGCCACTGCATACAGGACTATCATAGGTGGTCTCCAATATTTGTGCCTCACTCGCCCAGATATTGCTTATGCTGTTAATAAGCTTTCGCGGTTTATGCATCGACCAATTACTGACCATTGGGCTGATGTAAAACGATTGCTTCGATACCTATGTGGTACCTTAAACCATGGGATATTTCTTCATAAGGACAATCCTATTTCTTTACATGCATACTCTGATGCAGATTGGGCTGGTAACAAAGATGACTACACCTCAACGAGTGCTTATATTGTTTACCTTGGTCGTCATCCTGTCTCTTGGTCGTCCAATAAGCAACGGACAGTTGCTCGCTCGTCTACAGAAGCAGAATATCGATCTGTTGCTACTGCTGCTTCAGAGGTTAATTAGGTTTGCTCTCTTCTTACAGAACTTGGTGTCTCTCTGCCTACTCCACCTGTAATCTATTGTGACAATGTTGGTGCTACATATCTTTTCTCTAATCCAGTCTTTCATTCTCGTATGAAACATGTGGCAATTGATTATCATTTTATTCGGGACCAAGTGCAATCAGGTGCTCTACGTGTTACTCATGTTTCTTCTGCAGATCAACTTGCTGATGCTCTAACCAAACCACTGCCACGCGGCCGTTTTTTGGACTTAAAGGTCAAGATTGGTGTCTCCTACGGAACTTCATCTTGAGGGGGCATATTAGAGAATAATATTATATTTATGAACTTAGTCTAATATTGTTTCCTAGTCTTGTCTAGTGGTTTCTATAATTTCTCTTTGCCTAGCTATTTCCTACTTTTGTGATATAATTGGGTATATATACTTGTTCCTTATTAATGAAATATACAAGCTGTTTATATCACATAACACATCATTACTCCTCTTTGAAAATATGTCCTTCCCAATTGTTGCCGTTACCATATAATCATATCGCTGGGAATTAATTGAATGAGTGATGAATGAAATCACCACCCTTAATTATTCAGAGATCTACAACTCAACTACCGATAATAATGATGATCAAAAATCACAATAAATTTTCAAATTCCACCCTGAAAGAAATTACTATAATTGAATTGCGGGAAAATCACAGCTAATTTTTTTGAAAGGAAAGTTTACCCATCTTATTACAGCTAATTTGGTCAAATTGTTAACAACAAAGTTAAAAGTTCGATTTCTAGCGAAAGCAGTCTATTGACCTTCTTAGTTTGAGTCGGTCAGCTATGAGCAAATGTTGGTTTACCACCTTATGACCTTTTTGCCAGTTAGAGTCACAATGTAAGTTTTACGCAGTGTACATCCTTGAGTAATGATTGTGAATTTCTCTCCTCACTCAAAAAAAAAAATATAAGAGAAAATATAATACTTTTGATGAAAAAAGTAATAATTTTACATCAAAATGTAGAAGTATTACATTTGTCCACAAAAGTATTGCATTTTCCTATATAAGTAATAAACATTATATTCATGATTTATTATTACATTTGCTTATTGACCCAACCCGTATCACAGAAGATCCATAAATTTAATCAATTTTAAAATTAATGATTAAAAGAATAAAAAGGCTAAAAATAAAATAAAATAGTCAAAAGTTAAACTATTCTTTAGTAAAGATTTTTACGGCGCCGATTATACTAGCAAAAACAAAACATATCATATTTATTATACTACCTACTATCAACACCAATAATATATTGTGATTTGACATACTCAATTTGGCAAGAAATTTTTTATCTCTTTTATGATGGGTCATTCATCATCTTGGCGTTTCCCTTTCATGAATTTAAGAACGCACCGAATGCCATATTGCCATTCGCCCACAACAAACGTCCTCCACACATCCACTACTCTTAATTATCTAAAAGATTACTCCACCAAATTTGAATATTTCAACAAATATTTCGTTTGACTTAATAAAATATGCTTTCTTATGTAATACTGTAATTAATCTCATTGCATTTGCACACTCCGTCTACATTTCTTGGTCAAATCACAAAAACTTACTATCACCGAACAATTTAAGAAAATATTTAAACAAAAAATCATTTGACCTTTCTCATTTCTTCTCTTCCCTGGCTAATTAATAAAAGTCAAACCCCTTGCCACTTGCTTTATTTTTTTATTTTTTTTTTTTTTTTGAGAACTTGCTAATAGCCCATCATGGTATGCATTAGCCTATAATAGTTATATCGTGGACTAGGCACATATAGCAACATCCACCTAATACATTAATATTTTTTGGATACATTTAATTTTTCAGTTTACATCATACTAATTATATGCCTTTAGAATCTCTGCACAAGATCTTGTTTGAAATAATTCCCAACTAGTGTCATCGTGGGTGGAAATAGTTTGAACGGGATTGCAAGTCGGCAAACCTTGCCCTAGCCAAACAGGAAGGTATTTCCTATATGTGGTACGGGGTCCGAACTCGCTCACCACTGATCATAAGAACTTGTTCTTGGTCGAGCCCGAACCTTGACCAAGAAAAAGTTAAGCTTTCCCTAGCGGCGTTACGATGTTCGACCTCGCCTAGCTCTAAATGGAAAAGTATTCCCTAGGGGTGATACATACATTGCTACCCACCGAATGAAATAGCTCGTCCTTTGTTGAGCCCAAGCCTCGGTTAAGAAAAGCTAAGTGATTCCCTAGGGATGGTATGGGGTCCGACCTCGCTCACCATCAAATGAAAGAACTCGCTCTTGGCCAAGGTAAGTGCCTTTTGACCCAAAGCCATTACTCGTCAAACCCAAAGTCGTGATTCGAGTCTTGAAGTCCGACCCCGAGTTTTAGCTAGAGAGATTGGCTCAACTTCGAGGCGATAGCATTGTTGGATCTCGAGCTACTTCTATCGACCCTAAGGTCGCTGATTAGATCGAAGTAAACTCAAGGACAAACCTCGACACTAAGGGAGCCCGGTGGACGACCAAAGTGTATCGCCAAGTTGGGTTGAGCTAAAAGGCGACTTACCTTTCCCAAGGTGAACTAGAGGACGAACTAGCGTATTGCCGAGGTGGGTCGTGTTCAAATGAGACTTACCTTCCCTGAGGCTATCCAGAGGAAGACTTGAGCGTATCTCCAATCTAGGTCAAGCTCAAAGGAAACTTACCTTCCTCAAGGCAAGCTCGAGGAAGACCCAAGCATATTACCAAGCTTTATGTATGCCTTGTGTTACAAAAGTAAAAAGAGAGTTTCTGAATAAGTTGTATATTAGAAAAGAGAATATACAGCTCTATAAATACATGTTAGAATACTTATAATAAGAAAACAAGTTTCCATATGAATACTTACTCAAATCCCTATAATCTCCAGGCTGCCTAATATGTATAAGTTCTATATTACTTGCACGCTCCATAACACTTCCCTCAAATTGGAGCATAGATATTAATTATGTCCAACTTGTTACACAAATAACTAACTCAAAACTCATTTAGTACACTCCCCTGAAACGAAAGCTTGGATACCACCAATACCACGGACAACCGGGTGAACTCAAAGTGGACAGAACAAGCTTGGATTGGACCCTCCCCCTGAACCGGAAGCTTGGATGCCACCAATACCACAGACAAACACCGGGTGAACACAAAGTAGACCAAACACCTTGGTAAGTCAATGTTCGAGCCAAACTCCACAACCATGCTAGAAGGGGGTCAAAAGTATCACTTTGTATCTCTTAAAGAAGCATGGTCGAGCTCGGGGAAAGATTAGATACTCATTGGTGACCTCGTGGCCATACGAAGAACAGATACCGGGGACCGTGGTCAATAATGGGTTACAATTCAAGTCACTATACCTAAAGACATAATGTTCGAAGGCAACTATTTGTTACAAGGTCCGAAGGATGTCCATGGTGCTAAATCAAGTCCTCAAGAAACAAAGGCACACTACGAGTCCACGCCTGAAGCGCTTCGGCACCAATCTCGAAAGCCACCTACTACATCAACACTGAGTCGGGTGCTGATTTGACCCTGTTGGTGCATGCACCATCGAGTCCATACCAAACTAAGCCTAGCAACCACGTTTGGAAGGGGTCAAGAATCTTACAAACCTATTCTAGGAGAGTGCAGCTACCTTGCCTTTGGTCTGAATAAAAAAGAAAGACCAAAGGCAAGGTAGCTGCAGAGAGATTGTGGGGGTCACTGTCAACCCCTTCTTCGAGCAAAGAAAAGATACCAAGGCAAGAAATGGTTATGGTCCAAGGTGCCCTACCCAAAGACTTTAACATTCGAGAGTAACTATTCATAGGAATACTAAAGAATGTTTGGGACACTAGCTCGAGCCTCAGGAGGCTCACCGCGGGTCATAGGGCACTCGGAGTGAATACTCTCTCTTGTTGTCAACGTCTTGCAACTCAGAAAGTAGGAGTTGATGATGAATATATCGAGTTTGTCCCAATAAGTAAAGCCCAAGTAGATGGGCGACCAGAAAGGAGCGAAGGCTAACTACCCGACCTCATGCTTGGATGGGGAGGCAAATGACTTCCAAGCTCAAATGGCGCGTGAAGGGCCTCCGAGGTCGACCTCCAGACTCGACCGAGGGATGGGTTGGGCAAAGACCTAGTCTCATGGGGGCACCCTATTCTTAGGGAGTTCGTTGGGCAAATTAATTTAAATAAGTAGCTCTTGTCTTGGTTATGACATCACTTGCTCACTTATACACAAACAATTCTCTAAGAAAACTGAAGTCAAATCTTTGTCTTAAGTTTTCTATCATTTATATTGTTTTGTTCTTATTTATTATGGGGAATTAACTTATTAAAAATTACCACATCACAATTAAATTAAAAAATTATAGAGTGATTTTTGGAGGGCATTTAATATTGTATCTTTATTTTTTTATTATTATTTTTAAGTATAAAGCCAAAGCAAATGTAACCACACTCATACTCATAACTCATCTCACTCATAAATTGGGGACACCTGCTTTGTAGCAAGAAATAGTGTACTAGTATAGAGCGACCATGTTCCTTTCTTGCCTGAGCCCCACCTCCGTGTACGGCGGCTTTCTGCGCGTTTGCCTCTCCGCCGCCGGCCTCACCTCCCAGACCACTGACATAGACGACGAGACCACCATCCACTTCTGGGGCCCGAACTCAAAATCACCTTCAAAGCCCACACTAGTCCTCATCCACGGCTTCGGCCCTCACGGCGTCTGGCAGTGGCGCTCACAAATCGCGGCTTTTGCACGGGACTACAACCTCTACGTCCCGAGCCTGGTCTTCTTCGGCCGGTCCACCACCAAATCCCCGGACCGGTCCGAAGTGTTCCAGGCGAAGTCCATCGGCAAGCTCCTGGTGGAGAAGCTCGGCGTGGAGAGGTTTTCCGTCGTGGGGACGAGCTACGGCGGGTTCGTGGCGTACCACATAGCGAGAATGTGGGCGGAGAGGGTGGAGAAGGTGGTGGTTGCGAGCTCCGGGATTAACATGAACAAGAAAGACAACGACGATCTGCTGAAGAGGGCCAACGCCGACAAGGTTGAGGAGTTTCTGCTGCCGACCACGGCGGGGCAGTTGCGGACGTTAATATCGTTGTGTATGTTCCGCGGCCCTCATTTCCTGCCGGATTTTGTTTTCAACGATTTCATTAAGGTAAGTCATTTCGATCTCAATCTTAAGGTTACAAGAAATTGATAATGAAGAAGAAGAGTATGAGAATCCTACAAGATAATATTGGCGTGTTATTTGGTAACATAGCTTATCAATTAATTTTAATTTGTTTGATCATTATTAGTTTATTGACTTGGTCAAATAGCTCATATGCCTATTTGGTTAATCAGATTGTTTTGTAACAATTTATTATTTCAGAACGCTAAAATTTTAAAAGCCGCTCAAAGCAGCTTTTCAATCAGATTTTTGAGAAAATAAATTATTTTCTCTAAAACACCTCTAATAATTAAAAAAAAAAAAAAAACATAACGAGACTGTGCAAATGGATTCTGCAGCCTTTCAGTCCCGTTACTCTCATTGTCCCTTCAAAGTACTAGACAACGGGGGTACTTGAGCCCGTTGACGAGGCTCATAAACCTGTTGCCTAGAACCTTGAAGGTAATTAACATCGAGACATGTGATTAAGCCCGTGAACATTATTTATTTTCATTCCAAGTTGCTTTCCATTATTTTAGAAAAAAAATTATAATCTAGTAATATAAATATGAGGTTTACCTAATTGAGTTATTTGTTAAGATACACTGCTGGAAATTATGGAATTTTCGACCACCTGAAAGTGATTTTAAATCAAATCGTAAGCAAAAAGTGGTCGGAAATAGCAATAAAGGTTTTTCCGGATACCAAATTAAAAGTGGTCGGAACAAGACTTTCGACTTGATTTAAGATCACTTTCAGGTGGTCGGAAATTTCATAATTTCCAGCAGTGATAGTTTGTAATTTCACCTCTATTAATACTTGATTTTTTTCCTCGATTATAGTAATTTTACCTAAGTTAGTCTTCAAATATAGTGATTTTACCCAATTTAATCATCGGCTATAGTGGTTTTTCTCAATTTAGTCCTTGATTCTAATCGATGAGGATTCAATTGGGTAAAACCATTATGATTAATGAAAGCGAGGACTCAATTGGGGTTAATTAGTAAAATAGTCCTAAAAATAATCTTAAGTTTGACCTTTTAACTAAGCACAGCAAGATATGATATGCTAAAATTAAATCAGGCTAAGTTGTATGCCCCTGGACTTGTATGGCACAACCTATTCCCATCCTTACTTTTAAGTTTTAACCAATAAAAGATGATTGAGTTTTAACTTTAAGTTTCAGTTTGGATTGATGCGTGTATAATTGAATGAATAAATTATGTTTAACAATATATTTAAACAAAATTAGATTGCAATTGGGTTTTGTTTTTTAAATAATAAAAAGGGAAGTAGTGACTAAATTATTCACCGCTGACACAAAGTCAAGATTAAAAACTAAGGTAAAAACAAGAGATCAGAACATTATTTTAATCTTGTTTGATGATGTGATTTTTTTAAAAATAATTTTTACTCATTTGTTTTTTTTTTTAAGGCATTACTCATTTGTTTTATATTCTACTTTTGGATGACATTAAATCTATAGAGCAAGGTTGAAAAATTGCTAGCTAGTCCGCGTCCAAGGGGCGCAAGTCCAGGCGTTGATTAATCAGTGTCTAGGTGTCCGATTTTATTTTTTAAAAACTTATTCGTCAAACTTATGCGGCCGGGTGCGATTTGTGCAACCATGGTATAGAGATTAAGATAAAATAATATGGAAAATGATAATTTCCCTCCCAGTGTGTAAAATTTCATCCTATGTACTAATAATTTTATTGAAAGATTAAAAAAAATAATAAAGTAATTTATTTTTTCTTCATTAATTAAAACATGCAAATATGTAATATTAGAAAAAAGTAATAAGTGGAATGAAAAATAGAGTAAGTCTAATATTACTCATGCACGCATGTATATAATATATATACACACACACACACCAATTGATAAGTTATCTAATTAATTAATCCCATTATTATGTGAATAGTAGGACAACCCCTGGTGAACTAATAATAAAAACTACAACGATAACGACAACAATTATATTTATTATAATGAGTATTATAGTAATTATACATTATCTTTTTAAGTTATTGTTAAATAATTATCTTTCCGCTTTAAGTTTCAAAACATAATTCATCCTAGCTTTATGCTATGCTATTATAGTTAATTTATCAGTCAATTTTAACTTGTTTGACTATTATTAACTGTTTGATTGGGTTAAACAACCAATATAAGTGTTTGATAAAATCATAAAATTAACTTTTTATAACAGTTTATTGCTCCAAAATACTAAAATTTAAAAAACTATTCAAAACTACTTTTTCGATAAACTTTTTAAGAAAGTCATTTTGCATTTAATCAGCTAACAACTAATTTACCAAACATCTTTCTACAATCAGCTAATGCATGCTATCAACTAGTCAAACTCACTAACCCAATCAGCTAACAACTATTTATTAAATACCCTATACATATTTTTTCCCCCTCACACCCCCCCCCCCCCCCGGCGGATATATTAAATTGACATATCTACCCTTAAAGTAAACATTTTATTTATTTTTCTTCTCCAACCAATTATTGTTTATACGTAGGGTTGATTACGGTTCGGTTCGAACTGAACCGGACACTATAGCAATCGAATTGAAAGTTTTCTATTATGATTTAGATCCATAACCCAATATTTGGATTTCGGTTTATTAAAATCATGAATCGAAAAAACTGGATCTTGAACCGTGAACTGGCAGTTCGAATTCGAAAAACTACTAACATTAGTTTAAAATTAAAATTAAAATTATAATATTTACAAATAGTGTATGTTCTTTTTTTTTTTTTCATTTATTCTGATTCTCACATATAAGTATATATGACCGCGATTTGGTTTTGATTTTGAACCGTCAGTTCTTGGTTCCGGATCCAGTTTGAACTGCTGGTTCAAACTTTATTTTAAAATTTTATTTTTTATTTTTAAAATAGTCTAAATTGAACAATAAATGTATTTTTTTTCAGTTCGTAACATGAATCGACCGTTCTGGTTCGCGATTTTAATGAACTCTAAATGTCATATTTCGATTTTAAATTGTAATCGAAATATTTGGTTTGGTTGCTATAGTGTCTGTTCGGTTTGAACCAAATCGTGGTCATTATTTGTTAGAGAAGAAAAATAAATGGAATATTTATTTTAAGGCTAAATATGTCCATTTAGCATTTCAGGGGGAAAAACTGTCACTTAAATAATTCAAAAGAGAAAAATGCTATAAGTATATAACTCAGAGAAAAAAAGTGCTATTTTCCCGTTTAAGAATTAATAATAGAATTGTCCCTAATAATAATGAAAAAGAAGAGTAAATTATCCCTCTTGTTTCAACCAATCACATAGGGTAGGTGTTTCTAGTGGATTTCTCTCCCTATATAGTTTATGTGTTATTACACACGAGTGAAATTTACTCGATGCACACCCTCAAATAACAATTATGAGTTTTCTCGTCATCCAAAAATAATAAATTATTAATAAAGAGTGTATTCTACGCTTAGCCACTCTGATTATTATGAAATTTTTACATTTTGTTGTCAACTTTGGTTTTTTCTATTTTGAATCCGTAACCTTAAAAAATGTTTTTTCCTTTTTTTATCAATGTTTGTATAGTTGATCTGACGTGTATATATATGCATGTGTGATGCAGAAATTGTACAGGGAAAACAGGAAGGAGAAGCTGGAACTACTAAAAGGGTTGAGCTTCGGAAAAGATAACACAGTAAACATATCTCCACTTCAACAGGTCAGAACATATACTAAAACGGTTGCTTCTTATCAGTGTTGCAAAAATCCCGCTTAACTGGGCGGCCACCTAGCGTATCACCATAATCGGTGGTCCAGGCGGCTGACCGGTTAGGCGAATGACTAAGTCGCATAAGCGCTGTCTACGCCTCCTAAGTACCGACAAGGCTTGATGTTTTTAGGTTAATATTTAATATTATTTTAGTATTAACTATTAAAATATTAAATATTTTTTATAATTATCAAGTCTTAAAAAATTAAAAAATTGAAACAAACTTTTAAAAAAATAAAAAATATATTGGCGCTTAGGCACTCTCAGCGTCCGAGTAGCACCTAATGATTTTTTCAACCATGCTTCTTATTAACTGCACATGATAGAATTGAGGTTGAAAGTGAACAAAACAAAACAAAGGAGAAAATATATAGATTCACTAATTCGAAAAGTTTAACGTATGATGATGAGCAGGATGTTTTGATCATATGGGGCGAGAATGATCAGATATTTCCGTTGGAGAGAACAACAGAGCTCAAAGAGTACGTATATATCTATTGATTATTACTAATTTAATTTAATTAAATTTCTTGTAGTTTAGTGGTATAATTATGAGATCAAAGATAGATTGTTCAATTCTTTTCTTCTTTTATATATATGTTTTTAGGCTTCTAGGAAAGAAAGTGAGATTGGAAGTTATAAAGAGGGCATCGCACCTTCCTCAGTTCGAAAGAGGCTACAAATTCAACAACATCCTCAAACATTTCTTAAATGGTTCTTAAGGAGAACTACCCACTATGTCCGCATGCTACTTTTATTTGTAGTACTCACTCAAACTAAATATAACTTGTGGGGAGATTATATATGTACTACATTAAATGTAGGTCAAGTTCATCTGTGAACTGTGCTTCCCGTGTGGTCACTCACCATTAGGTACGCTAAAATGCACCACAAAGTGTTCAGAAATACACCATTATGTGTAGTGAGGTGTGGTGCGCGCAGTTTTTGGTGTGTGGTGCGCTTTGTGGTACATTTGTGCATTTTCAGACACTGTGTAGTGTATTTATACTACCCGATGGTGAATCTGTACCGATCGCACTAGAAGCACTGCCCGCATTTGAACCAGTATCCATGTAATGTCATCATAAACTTAGGTGTATTGATGACAGCTATGGTTAGGTTGTTTGCAAGGTATGTATGGGTGTATTTATAGTGGATGTTCCAATAACTTATTGTTTTGTGTTGATTTTGCATTTAAAGCTTTATTATCATGGTTCACTTCCTTTGTACAATGGAAATAAAATGGTATGTCCTTGAGATTTTTTTTTTTTTTTTTGAAACCAAAATATGTCCTAGAGATACTACGGTGACTTACGGTAGAATGATCAAGTGAGTGGAGCATGATTTTGTTTGTCACACTGATTTTTCTAGTGAGGTTTATTTATTATTTTGTTGTTTGTGAACTGTACTATTACACATGAGGGAAGTTTACTCAGTGCACACATTCGAGTAATGATTACGTATTTTTCTCGTCACAAAAAAAATAATAATTATTATTCATTAGCTCGCTAAAATGAATATTAATTTCCTTTCACTCATCAGTTAATATTCATTTACGCAAATTTTGCTGTGCAACCGAATGCACCATGCGCATAGTGCATACGATGCAAAACGATGTCGTTTTGGTTAAAAAGCGCGCGTCCCACTTAAAAAAGAAATCAGGTTCGATTCCCGGCAATAGCATTTTTATATATCCATAAATTCATAACTATATATCCATAAATTCATAACTATATATCCACTAATTCATAACTATATATCCACAGTGAATGAATGAACTAAATATCCACAATGAATGAACTAAATATCCACAATGATTGAACTAAATATCCACAATGAATGAACTAAATATCCATAAATTCATAACTATATATCCATAAATTCATAACTATATATCCAGAATGAATGAAGTAAATATCTACAATGAATGAACTAAATATCCACAATGAATGAACTAAATATCCATAAATTCATAACTATATATCCAGAAATTCATAATTATATATCCAGAAATTCATAACTATATATCCACAATAATGCTATTGCCGCGAATTGAACCTGATTTTTTTTTTTTAAAAATGGGACGCACATTTTTAGTCAAAACGACATCATTTTGCATCGTATACACCATGCACATGGTGCATTCGGTTGCACAGCATAACTATTGATTCATTTCAGCATGGGTTCATTCTTTTATTTATTTATTTATTTTTTAGTTTAGTATATTATGGACAGGCCTAAGTTTGTTCTCTGGTCACTTTTGAGACGTTTAGTTTGCTAGTTTAATAAAGTTCTTATTCTGCTTAAAATATATATATATATATATATATATATATATATATATATATATATATAGAAAAGCAATTAGACCTCTAAAGTCTAAACTACCCAAAAAAAAATATTAAAATACAATTAGGGAAAATGGCACTTTTTCCCCCTAAGTTATATACTTATAGCACTTTTTCCCCCTCAATTATTTATGTAAGCACATTAGCCCCCTCAATTATTTTAAAAGTGGTGGTTTTTCCCCCTAATATATTAAATTGACATTTCTACCCTTAAAGTAAACATTTTATTTATTTCACTTCTCCAACAAATTATTGCGTATATGTAGCGATTACCATGGTTCGATTCGAACTGAACCAGACACTATAGCTAGCAATCGAATTAAAAGTTTTCAGTTATGATTCAGATTTAGAACTCAATATTTGGATTTCAATTTATTAAATTTAAGAATTAAAAAAAACTGGATCATGAACCTGTGAACCGGCGATTCCGGATCCAGTTCGCGATTTGAACCTTCTTTATTTTAAAATTTTATTTTTTATTTTAAAATAGTCTAAATTCAACAATAAATGTATTTTATTTTTTCAGTTCAGAACATGAACCGGCCATTCCGGTCCGCGATTTTAATAAACTCTAAATATCGCGTTTTGATTATAAATTGTAATTGAAATATTTTGGTTTGGTTGCTATAGTATCTATTTGGTTTGAACCAAATTATAGTAATAATTTGTTGGAGAATAAAAATAAATGAAATATTTACTTTAAATATTTATTTTAAAGGTAAATATGTCCATTAAACATTTCAGGGGGAAAAAGAGCCACTTAAATAATTGAGGGGGGAAAAGTGCTATAAGTATATAACTTAGGGAGAAAAAGTGCCATTTTCCCATACAATTAAACACCTTAGCTAGTCATTTGGATATATACGATTATACGGCCCATTAACGATATAACACCACAGGTTATATTGGTTAAAATCCTATTTGGTGCTTAAATGCCAGGCAAATTATGCCCTGGAAACGTGTTCACCGTGAATGGTGAACACAAGGCCAAACAACGTCGTTTTAGGTAAAAAAAAAAAAAAAAAAAAAAAAAATCGTGGATGTGGAGTTAACGACGCGCGTTGATCAAATTATGAATTTTCTTTTATGAAATTATGAATTTTCATAAAATTCATAATCTCATAACAGAAAATTCATAATCGCATAACAGAAAATTCATAATCTCATAACAGAAAATTCATAATCTCATAACAAAAAATTCATAATCTTATAACAGAAAATTCATAATCTCATGGTTCCAAAGTGAATGTGCAGGCATGAATTTTCATAATTTATGAATGTCCGTGATTTTGGACGGGAATGTGTAGGCATGGTTCCAAAGTGAATGTGCAGGCATGAATTCATAATTTATGAATGTCCGAAATCATTGTTCACCTCAAATTAAAGTGAAATCGCAAAAAATTCATAATCGCATAACAGAAAATTCATAATCTCATAACTGAAATTTCATAATCTTATAACAGAAAATTCATAATCTCATAACTGAAAATTCATAATCTTATAACAGAAAATTCATAATCTCATGGTTCCAAAGTGAATGTGTAGGCATGGTTCCAAAGTGAATGTGCAGGCATGGATTCATAATTTATGAATGTCCGTGATTTCGGACGGGAATGTGTAGGCATGGTTCCAAAGTGAATGTGCAGGCATGAATTCATAATTTATGAATGTCCGAAATCATTGTTCACCTCAAATTAAAGTGAAATCGCAAAATGTGAAAATGAAGAAGAAAAGTCACGCAATTAATTAAGAAAAAAAAAAAAGATAACGGTGTACTAACACCGTTGGAACCGTGTTCACCATGAATGGTGAACACAGTTCCATAGCATAACGCTCCTAAATGCAATAGTTACAATTGTTATGCCATGGACCCGGGTCCACCTTGCAAGGTGGACCCAGGTTCAAAATGACGTAGTTTTGCGTGTCTAAAATAACGGGGCCGTTAGTAGTACCATTACTTCAGTCAATGATATTTTTTTTGTGTGTGTGTAAATATAGATTTCAAAAGTTATGAATATAGAGTTCAAAAATTGTGATATTGAGTTCTGTAATTTTGTATATTGAAATCTAAAATTGTGAATATTCAGTTTTAAAATTGTGAATATAGAGTTCAAAAATTGTAAATATAGAAGAACGAATTCTGAAGACAAATGGCAAGTTAACGGCAAAAAAGGAATCAATTTAAAAAAAAAAAAAAATTAGACAACATCATTTTGAAACAAAACGACGTCGTTTTGGACCTGAGTCCACCTTGTAAGGTGGACCCAGGTCCATAACATAATTTGCCATAACTATTAGGGCTAAGGTTTGACAAATAAAATCATCATTTTCCTTAAATTGGCCCATGAGGATTATTGCATTTTTTTTTTCAAGCACACCAATGACCAACTTGTGCATTTAAAGTACAAAACTTGACCAACTTGTGCATTTAAAGTACAACTTGCTTTAACTATGGCTTCCAGTTTAGCATAGGTCAAGTTATTGTTTGCTTATCCTAGCCAATGTTTTCTTGAATGACAGTAACCTTAATTCTAAAGTGCTAAGACAAGGATCTCAAGATCTTATTGACCATCTTCTAGATTCACCTAGAACAATAGTTTCATTTGAAAGATCTTACACTCGAGTGTTAACTAGACTATGGTCTCATCTTCCCTCATCCTGAGTTGCTCAAACTTTGAATGATCTTACTGTAACTTTAATTGTTTCACGGAGTCAATTCTATCATTGGTAATCTATAAGATCTCCTAGGCCACCTTCGCTTTAGTGCAACTTGCTATTATTGTGAATTGTTTTTCCTCCAAAGATCGATCCCACGATGGTATTAAGGGCCTTATTATTGTAACCAACAACAATCAGTACAAATTGTCACAAACGGTTTCCTTTAACCTAAAGATAGATCTTTATATGAGCCTTCCAATAAACGTAATTCATACCCACCAATGGCAGTGGTTTTATGCCACCATCCATCCTGAAATATATGAAGGCACCAAAGCTAGCAACCAAGAATTTCAAGAAATACTCAAGAATCACATAATTAAGCAATTAACACAAAATTTAACTAACAACTTAATCTAATATGCTCTGATACCAACTGAAATCATTATTTAACATTGAGAAACTCTTAATCAAATTTGGAAACAACTCGTAAAACACAAATTTTCGTTGTTTACCAATTTGTGTTGTTCCAAAAAATAAAGTAAAAGTAGAGTAGCATAGAACATGTTTGTTTACGCAGTTCAAAGTGACCAATCTTACATTTGTTAGGCTCCCAACTCAACAGAAGTCCAATCCACTATCATAGATTTTAATATAAATTACATGAAAGGAATCATCAAGAAACAAATCAGGAATTCACCAAATTCATGTGAGACCCACTCAAAAATCAAAATTGATTGAGTTGAGCTCAAACAATTCTACTATCAACTCGAGACTCCCCTTAATGGTTTAAATAAGATTTCAATCTTGTAACCACCTAGTTACCAAAATTTCGTTATCAGTAGACCTTATTAATGGACACGTAGAGATCTTCAATAGAATGCCAACAACTTCATAACTAATTCTGGCCATGTCGTCATTGCAGCATCTATAACAGGATCTACACCAAAAACTTCCTATTATAGTTGAGCCTTCACGGAACCTTTTGTTCTACCCAAGTAATATGAAAAGCTAGTACAGACACCTATTCTATAATACACATACTCCCTAGACTATATTTTTTCCTAGAATTAAGCAAACAAGGATTTATTATACAAAGTATAACATTTCCATTTATAAAAGGCTTCATTAAATACACACCTAGCATTTTTCCGAGCAAGAACCTTAAATAGTGTCCATGTTGCAAAAATCTAGCCTAGGCA